CTCACATTTAAACAATGGTCTTCTCTTCCAAGCTACAAAGAGTTCTCAACTGAAGGCAAAAATAATCATCAGTTGATGTTTTAGAACCAGTAATGTAACATGAATTAATGGATTTAAGATGTCTGGATTTATAATCTGATTAAATGACGTCCTTTGTTGCCTTTTCTTTAAGGATAATGATATGCCACTGCTATGAGTCTATCAGACTTCTTAGCAGTTGTATTTCTTCAATGTCAACCAACAAAGTGCTATTCTGGCTCATGAATGACATTTGTAGGGTTGATTAACATAAATCTGTCTCCTGGAAGTTTGCTTATCCTGGTTGAACTGGAAAATATGGTTTCTCACTGGCTTTTAAATCATACCATGTAGACATCCATGTAGCCTGAAATCCAAATAACATTGATTTGAGGGATAAAAGTGACTTTAGGTCTGAGTTTTATGGAGAGACACATGCACTACACCTACCTATATATTCTGGGAACATGATTTGTATTATAGCCAAGTCTGTGGTTGGACAAGTGGCGTTAGGACGAAGTACTGAAATATTGTGTTATATACAGAAGTTGATGTAAAAATTGTTTTTTTTTTTATCCTCACCCGAGGACATTTTTCCATTTTTTGTTCAGATAGAGCAGGAGGGAGAGAGAGGAAGAGAGAGAGAGAGAGAAACATCGATGTGAAGGGACACATCAAGTGGCTGCCAACCGCACGAACAACCAGGGCCGGGGACAAACTGCAACCGAGGTACATGCCCTTAGCGGGAACCCAACCCGGGTCTCTCTGTACCGCAGGCCGACACTCCAACCACTGAGCCAAAATGGCCAGGGCTAAAAATTGTTTTGACTCTCAGCATTTAATCGTAAGAATAATGGACATAATGGAAGTAATAGCTAATGAATAAACATGGATAGTGTTTTCACAGAAATACTTCTTAAATACTACTCTTAAATACTTTCTTTCTTTCCAAATTCACATTGAGGCTTGCACAGGTATTGTAGAGTTAGTGGTAACCAGAGGAATGGATCCTACAGACAGGTCCTAGGAGTTGGATGAAATTGCTGATACTGAGAGTGAGGCTCCTGGTCTAGAGGTATAATGTTGGGAGCAGAAAGTAACCAGCCCTACTCCATCCACATGCTATAAAGTTTGTTGGTGTATTTTATTCACCAGGAATGAAATTTAAACAAACCATTTTGGGTGGTGTTTTATATTTTCAAGTTGCTTTCACATTTATATTTATTTTAAATAATCTAAAAAAATATTCCTATAAGCTCATTACTACATTTGACATATGAGGAAACCAAGATAAACTGATGTTTAGTAACTTGCTAAAGAACACATAGCTGATGACAAGGCAAAACTAAGATGAACTCCCAGTTATCCAGGCCATGTCCTTTCCACTGAAATCTGATCAGCAAGATTAGAGCAGCCACTGGTAGGTTGCACAGTTCATGAGAGTTCAAACTGGAAGATTGCTTGAAGCAAAATTGTCCATGCTTGCTTATGTTAGGATAACTTAGCATTTACTGAGTGCTCATGGTGTTTATGAAGCACTATGTTAGTTATTGTTGGGAAAGAGAGATTTAAACGAATAAATAATGTGATACCTTCCCTCAAGATGCTTGGTATCTTTTGAGAAGAATTGTATTTCTGTTATAGGATAGTGAGAAGCTAGGAAAATTCCTAAGCAAGTGCAATAGGAAACTGAGACAAGAAAATTAAACAAGGCTAAACAGTTTGGACAGCTTGTAGCTGGCTTGTAAATAACAAGTCATTGCCCGGCCGGTGTGGCTCAGTGGTTGAGCATTGACCCATGCACCAAGAGGTCGCCAGTTTGATTCCTGGTCAGGGCACATGGGCAGGCTGTGGGCCAAATCTCCAGTGGGGGGTGTGCAGGAGGGCCAATCAATGTTCTCTCTCATTGATGTTTCTAGCTCTCTCTCCCTCTCCCTTCCTTTCTCTCTAAAAATCAATAAAGAAACAAACAAACAAAGAAACAAGTCATTATCTTCCCCAAACCAAGGACACTTGAAAGCAAATTGTTAAAGCCTCCCCAACTAGAGATGCAGGAAAGGTGGGGGGAAGGGGAAAGGAAAAAAGGGCTGTTTTATTTTACTCCCTAAACAGAGAAGCCAGCAGTCTAGCCAGCAGTCTCAGGGCTTGGCAAGATAGAATTGCCAGGTGTTTCTCATGGATTCTGGGAAGGCCACAACAAAGTAAAAAGGGATCTTGAGAATGAATCTGTACCATATCTGGCAAAGGAATTTAAAACCTATAAACAAAAAAGCATAACATACTAAGCCTCTACCAGGTAAGGACTGCCCAAATTATTTGGGAAGTCCATCAGCACCTTATAGGGCAGATGTATGTTCATACATTTGCTCCTTTTGCCTCTTTAATAAATTTGCTTTGCTAGAACGCAACCATTTAGTATCACTGATTTGAAGTCTTTCCTGTGAAACTGACATGAACTGAGACAGGGCTGTCCCATAACACCTTTTTTGGTGTTTTGCAGTACCTATAACATTTCTATGGCTCTTATTTTTAAGGAACCTCTTCTTCCTCTGGCCTGAAAATGTAGGCAGTGCACAAAGTTCAGTCCTTAGTCATCTCTTAGATTTACTCTAAGTTGAGCCATTCTTATGACCTTGGCTATCAATCATCTTCCCCAGATTTAACTTTGGCCCATCACTCACTCAGGGCCATTATTTCCAACCATCCACAAGACAATGCTTCTTTGAATTGTTGTCATCTCCTCAAACTCAACAGGCCAAAACAGAACTAATCATGTCCTACACTCCCATTTCTATCCCCAAATTACCTATTTCTAGGAATAGCAGTAGCACTACAGAGCTCACTGGTTCCAATTTCAGAGATGTTTCTGACATTTCTTTTCTATGCTGCCTGTATCTAATCACTCACCAACTTCCACCTATTATTCCTTTTAAATGTTTCTTGAGTTCCTCTAAAGTCCATTTCCACCGTCATTAACCTAGCCTAGAGCCTCATTAAAATCTACTCTCATCTCCAGTTTTCTCAAGATGTACTGAGGACTGTGAAACTGTCAGATTCATCTCTTCAAAATATTTCATCACTTATTCAAAGTTTGCTGTTAAGATCCCATTAAAAAGTGTCTGGGGTTCAATGTATAATAGTTATTTTATATTTCTATCCAAATTCATTTCTTGTTATTCCTCTATTCAGTCCCTTTATGACAGAGCAGGCTCCTGGAGGTACCTGCAGGTACATCTATAAATTCCTCCAGGACAGGAACTACCATTCATCTTGCCTTGTGCCACATACTGTTTTAAGCTTAATCAATACTTATTTAACTGAATTGCAATGTATTTGAGAGATTTTAATAAGAACATAAGAAATAGTATTGTGTGCCCTGGCCGATTTGGCTCAGCAGTTAGAGCTTTGGCTTGCGGACCGGAGAGTCCCAGGTTTGGTTCCTGCTAAGGGCACGTACTTGGGTTGTAGTTTGTCCCCGGCCCCGGTTGGGGTCATGTGGATGGCAACCACTTGATGTGTCTCTCACATCGATGTTTCTCTCTCTCTCTTCCTCCCTCTCTCCCTCGCACTCTATCTGAAGATAAATGCAAAAATGTCCTTGGGTGAGGATAAAAAAAAAAAAAGAGATAGTATTGTGGATCGAAGTAGTAATCCACACAGAGCTATGTTTTTGGAGATTATAGTAGTTATCTTCCATGGCATTAAATGCACAAGGTTGGATATGTGCTTTAAGAATTGTTGTCATTCCCTTAATCTCTTATTATCATCCAATGATACAGCAAAAGCACATTTATAATGTCCTGGACCATAGAAAAATATCTTGATTTTATTCCAGATAACTAGTTCCTAAACACATCAGAAGTTTGATTAAAGGTAGGAGGGAAAAGGTAGTAGAAAATGAAATTGATAGTTCTAGATTAGGAAGACACAGAAATGCTGGGTTCAGACTGGACTCAACTTTCTGCAAACTTTCTTTAACGTATTATTGTTTTGGGGTTCACTGGTTCCCAGGCTGATTTATTTTATTTGCAGGAACTGGTGGGCATTACAATGCAGTCCCAATTCCAGGTTTAGTTACATTTGGTTTTTGAATAATCACTTGATAAATGTCTGGTGTCTATGGCCTCTCTCTAGATTTCAAAATAATCAGGCCACTGGAAGCCAGAATAATTGAATTCAAGATTCAAGGATTTTTCTTTTTTTTAGCCACAGATGGAGCCCACCAAACCATCCATTTACTTTGAAAACAGCTTCTTTGCTGCTAAGTAGAAGAATGCTCCTGGCCAACAATTTTGATTAAAATGTATGAAGTATTATTGGCTCTGTGAAAACCTGATCTATGTCAGATATGTCTGAGATACTATGTAGACAATGCGTTTTCCTTATAGTTCTGAGAGCTTTCTATTTTCAGTCTCTAATCATAATTTGCTAATTTCTAGTTGTGTAGTATGTTTCCAGAATATTTCTTAATCTCTCTGAGTCTATTTCCTTATTTGAAAAACAGGGATAATAACACCTATCTAAATTGCAGAATATTGAGATGTTCAAGTGGGATAATGAATGCGAAACTACCTTGTGAAAATACCAGATAATTCTTCACTGGTTAACCTTCAGCAGTCACTGTATATTTTCTTTCATTATTGAAGGAAACTGCCATTACAGAGTAGAGAAACTCCATTAAGCCCTTAAAATAGGATTTTAAAATATGACCTACATTTCCGACTTAATTGCAAAGTAGCTGGAGGCCTGGGGAATGTTCCCTCTGTATTTTGCCACATTGAGCCCCTACCCAGCAGAAGCGCTGAGCAGACTGATGAGATTATCAAGTGTCTGACCAAGAAATAAAGCAGAAAGAATTCATACTGGCAGCCTAATTTAAAGCAGGTAGGGTGTAGATCCCCAAACTCCCAGGCATTTGCTAAAATCAGCAGAATTTTACTACATACAGTTTTGGTCCTAGAATTGAAACTGAATCTTCTTACCTGGTAAATTCAAGGTTGACACTTTAGGGTTCTTTTGCATTCACTCTCAGAAGAAAACTCCAATTCTTCAATAAATCCAATCTACCTGTTTCTTGGAGAGCTAAGCCGTCATTGGTGATCTGCACAGTGAATCTAAATTGGAGGGAATCCCCAAAGCACACTTCATTCACAAGGCGCCCGCTCTTTAGAAGAGCTTCTTTGAAAATATGGGTTGCAGCTGTTTTTAAGAGCAGAGAGGGTAGAGCACATGCTAGCCAATGTATACAGAGTCTTCTTCCTCTTTCAGATTAGTCTTCAAACTGTTTAAAGCACGCCTAAATTCGGTTTCTCTGGTGCCAGATGGGGGAGGGGAAGGAAGAGGGAGGGAGGAAGAATAAAAACTGGAGACTTGTAGGTTATTGTGTGTATAAATGAGCTTTTATCCCTAGCCCCAGCAATAGAATTTCAGGAAATTGCACAGCAGCTCTGAGATGGGAAGCAGGAAGGAATGTATTCTGTCCAGTTTAGTTCTCTCTGATTTTAATGACTTGGGTATGGTTAGACTATTTGTAGGTGAGAAAGATAATCCTACCAGTATATACTGTCATTATGTGAAATTTGACCTTAGGCAAAATAAATTCTCTCTCTCTCTCCTTTTTGACACTTGCGGCTCTACCCACACTCTAGAAAGCCTTTTCCTTTCCAGTGCCTTATGTCCTGAAAAATAATTGCCTTAGTTTGAACTTGTTTTTCTGAAATCCCCATGACAATACCTTGCCTTCACTGAATTAAAAGTGGAGTTTTTCTCTCACACTGAGAATAGTCTGGAATGTCTGGGCTTGCTGTCAGTGGTCCTGTGTTAGGAATTTGGAAGCCAGGTCAATGCTCTTAATCTTTGGCTAGGCTCTGGGTGTTGGAACTATGAGATGCTCTGTCTGGCTTCTGGAGAATAGGAACATGACAATCTACTATATGCTGATTTGAGCTTTTTGTAGCATCTTTCTGATGTTGTGAAACAACTGAAGAGACCCTGATGTGAGTTGGTTGCATCAATTATATTGAGTTATATTATATAAGACAGTCTATACAGGGATAGGCATATTTATGCTTATTTTAACACTTTAAAAACTTGACCCAATAACTAATAACTAATTTGACTGTACTCAGTAACACACGAGCCCAGCAACAGCCCTCTAGCCTGTTATATGCTGCAGGGACAACCATTTACTCAAACTTTGCATCTATAGATACCAGAATTATCTCCCAGCCAACCTGGGGCCAAGGCTCTAAAGTTTCTGAAATATTCATCTTTGTTCATAGAATTCTTGGTTGTGGTAGTGATTGGGGGAGAGTTCAACAAACCAAATCAAAGGGGTAGGTAACATATGGACCCAAGACCAGATACTTTAATCATCCCTGTAGAGTTTTACTAACTAAAGTGACATATTAACTAGAATTTCTTCAACTAAATTTGGATCCCCAGAGATCTAGGGGAAAATTCATAAGGGAGATCGGGGGAGAGCTATCCCTTCCTCTCCAGTATGGACCATCATAGCTATCTTAAGCTATGGTGGAATAGTAGTTCATATTCAGGTAAAGAAGAAAAGAAAAAGGGGCTAAAATTTTTACCTTCAACATGGCACCACAGCCGCTGTGGCAGAGAGAGGATGCCCTGTGGCATTTCTGTGTTCTTTCCTACTTACTTCCTTCTTTAGCTGCTTCTCTGCTTTCTGAGTGATAGAAAGGTATTCCACCCATCCCCAAATTGGTCTTTGCCTTGTACAGCTACATCAATTTAGACCATGTTTACTATAATTGACAGCAGATTTTTTAAAAAAACTCCCTTCCTTACCGACATATCCTTTCTTTTACTTTTTATACATCTTCATTACATACTTATCCTCACATTTTCTCTCATTTCAGGAAATGGTGAAATGACCAGACTGATAATCTCTCTGCTGCCATCACTCCACTTTTTCTCATTTTCTGAGACTCTTTCAGGTCTTATTTTATTCTTAAATATTTTTTTCTTTATTGATTTTAGAGAGAGAGAAAGGAAGAGGCAGAGAGAGATAGAAACATTGATGAGAGAGAACATTGATTGGCTGCCTCCTGTACACTTCTCATTGGGGATTGGGCCCACAACCTGGGCATGTGCCCTGACCAGAAATCAAACCAGTGACCTCCTGGTGCATGGGTCAATGCTCAACCAATGAGCCACACTGGCTGGGCACAGATCTTATTTAAAAATGAGGTAGACAGTACCAAGTAGAAAAAGGTGAGGGAGAGGGAGAATTACATGTAATTTGATAGGGAGTCTGTCTTAGTGAAGTACAATTTGAATGGAAGGTTAAAGGCTTTTCATTCATACAACTTTCATAATATTAACGATGAGCTATAGGATTCATAGCTTACATGAACTCATAGAGCTGAAAAGAGGCCTTCAAAAATCATCTTGTTTAGACACTTTATTAAAACGAGTTCTTTTTTTTCTTTTTTATTAATTATTTTTTGTTACAGATGGTTCTCCTCCCCCCCCCACTGATTCCCCCCTCCTCCTCCCTCCCCGTCCTGTCCCCAGTTTGTTGTCCATGTCCACTGTAAAATGAATTCTTGAGTGTACGACAGGTCCCAGTTCATTGTGCTTTTAGCTGTTAGCTTATTGCCTTATTTGGTTTGTCAAACAAATAAATCTAGTCTAACTCACTCATATTACAGATAAGAAGACAGACTAGAGAGAAAGAGATTTCTAAAGATCTATTTGTTTTACCACAAAATCAAGAGGAGTCTTATTTTACTTCTAGAACTGAAATTGTTCAACAATCAGTACTAATGGCACATTGTAAAGGTAGATAAAGAGTGTTACTATACTCATAGCCCAGATCTATAAACACATGTACATTTATTCACAGAGTCTGGGATTGCTTTGATTCACCCTTTAGTTCAAGCTTATAAAAACCCAGAGAGAATGAAAAATATCAGTATAGTATGGAAATATGGCTTTTACTACTTTGTACCTAGGGCCTACCCAGTGGGTATAAAGCAACCCTGTATTATCATTTCTGGTGAGGCCAAGGTGCCCTAATTGATAATTCTGGATGAGTTTGAATGAACCCTGTAGAACAGAATAGAATAGACCACCTAGGCGAGACAATACAGATAATTTAAGCAACATATCTACATTATTCTGTGCTGTCCAAATGTGGTAGCCACTAACCATATGTGGTTATTGAAATTTAAATGTAAGTTAATTAAATTAAATGAAATAAAAAATTATGTGATACATTTACACAGTGAAATACTACTCAGCCATAAAAAAGAAGGAAATCTTGCCTTTTGTGACAGCATGGATGGACCTGGAGAATATTATGTTAAATGAAATAAACCAGTCATAGAAAGACAAGAACCATGTGATTTCACTTATATATGGAATCTAATGAACAAAATAAACTAACAAAATAGAAACAGACTCATAGATACAGAGAACAGACTGAGAGATGTCAGAAGGGAGGGTGTTGGGGAGCTGGGTGAAAAAGATGAAGGGATTAAGAAAATAAAAGAAAACTCATAGGCACAGGCAACAGCATGGCGATTACCAGAGGGAAAGTGGGGTGAGGAGAGGTATAAGAGGGTAAATGGGAGATAAATGGTGATGGAAGGAGACTTGCCTTGGGGTAGTGAACACACAATACAATATACAGATGATGTATTATAATTGTACACCTAAAATCTATATAATTTTATTAATCAATGTGACCTCAATAAATTTAATAAAAATTAAAAAAAATCTGTTTATCAGTTACACTAGCTACATTTCAGATGCTCAATAGCCTCATGTGGATAGTAAATACTGCATTGAAAATCTCAGATTTAGAATAGATTTTAAAATTTGCACTGTGTTTGAGTTAGGGAGTATCACTAGTACAAGGTCATATAATTAAGTGCCAAAGCTGGAAAAAGAACCCAGGTTTCTGGATTCCCAGTTAAGAGTAAGCTGATTTATTTTCACCCCCTTTGTTATTTATTTCTATCTCAGTGTGAATCTGTGGGCATAATTGAGGCCTGTTGGGTGTGTGTGACTTTATATGAAGGGTTTGAAGTTTCAGGAGGAGGGCATCCAGTTAGCATGGATGAGGGAGCTCCTTTGCATAGATTTGTCGAGTTTGTGTCTTTCTCCCCTGACAGGACCTAAGAAAGAATATATATAAAGTTGCAGTGAAAAGTAAAAAAAAATAAAAATAAATAAAAGAAAGTTATAAAATGAAAGATGTAGTAAGGATGATAAACTCCAGCTTTAACTCTTCCTAATTAGTGTTTGCCTCTCAGTACTTCTAGAGATGGGTATGGGTCAGGAAATAGGATTGTTGTCTGCTGAGTGCATGTGGTCCAGAAATCTGCTAATAGCTTACAAACCTATGAACTGGGCCAATTTGAATTTGTCCCCACCTTAGCATTACCTCCAAGAGAGGATCAGTAATGGAGGAATTAGGCAAAGATCTTTACTGAGAGTCAGATATTTACTTAATTGAAGGAACTGTCTTCAACCACTTAAAGTGGGCCAAGTTTAGGCTTTGCCAAAGGGAAAAAGAAAAATTCCTGAGAAATCACTTTAAGATACATGCCTGGTGAAAAGTTTTGTATAATTAGAGACTAGTGTACTAAGAGTTATTTTAGGCTTCCTAAGAAATCAACAATTCCCCAAAGCTCTTGCTATTCAAAACTTGCTAACATAAGCCTAAAATACCTTTAAGTGTACTTCACAGTGAGAGTCCTCTATTAGATACCTTTAAATTCAGAACCATTAAGGAGAAGTGACCCAAGGACTGACTCTTATAGGAGAGGTCATCCACTATGGATGGGTAGTATTATTGTTCTTAGTAGGAAAAAAAAATAATGGTAATATTAGCTCTACCTATTTCACAATGTTATAAGGTAATATGCAGATACAATTATTTCATTTCTTTAAAAAATTAAAAAATTTCCAATTACAGTTTACATACATTTTTATATAAGTTTCAGGTGTCTACCTTAGTGATTAGACATCACATAGCTTACTAAATGACCATCCCAATAAGTCTTGCACCCACCTGATACGATACATAGTTAGAATATTGACTATTTTCCCTATGCTATACTTCACATTCCCATGACTATTCTGTAACAACCAATTTGTACTTCTTAATCCCTTCACCTTTTTCACCCATCCCCCCAACCCCTTCCCATTTGGCAACAGTGAAAATATTCTCCGTATC